TGTTATTCTCTCAGGGAGCAACCTTTCTCTTGGGCTATGGAGGTGTCCAGTGGACAGGGGTCAAAGGAAGTCAAGACGGCATTGTATCTCAGTGACAAGCCTCTAGTAGACCACATTAGTTTTGACTTAGGTGAAGTCACTAGCTGTTTTTTTTCCAATTGCTGTTCTAGTTTTATGTCTTTTGTTGTTGAGTTAATTGAAACAAACATGACATTTTAAATGATCTGGTCACACACATGCAGATGTACCCCTAGATGAGTCTGTGAATGGAGAAAGTGAGAAGATGTCTTACTACAGGACCATGGTGAGCTGTAGTCTCATCAGCTTCACTTAACACTGGTAAGACTCCATATCATAGAAATTAACTCACAGAAAATGTCATTTCAAATGTCAAATACCATATTTATTTATTGTTTTTTTATGCAATGGGTTTTAATTTGTTATGCACAATACTGTTCAAAAGTCTGGGGTCATTTTTTGTTTTTTAAATTTCTGGTGAAAAACTACATTACCCAAGACTCTGCAAATCTCCAATCAGAGAATTGAAACAAGCAAAGCATGCCAAAAAAAACTCTTTAGTTCTTTCCCTCATTAAGTACACTGTCTTGTACCTTTTGTCTTTTTGCAGAATGTTCAAATACTTTTTTGTTTCTAATCAAGTTTGTAATGTTATGATTTGCATTTTTGCTGATTGGTTTGGTTCATAGCCTATATCTCTTTAAAAAAGAAAGAACGTAAAATGAATGGGAAACATAACTTTCAGAACCAAGTCCATGAAAAGTGGGTGAGCACTGTTGCACTCTATTATAGCTCGTCCTAATGAAATAAGGCTTCGCGGTGCATTGACCATTTAAGCAAAGGTGCTCCAATAGCCGATCTGGTTATTTCTTTATGGTGACATTTAATTAAGAATATATGTACTATGGAGCCATTTTAACATCATTCACTGAAGCTTGCAGAATATGGCCCCTGAAGACTTGAGACATTTCAGCTTCCCAAGATCAGAGACGGCCAGAACTGGAGTTGCTTAATGTTCTTTTTTTTATCCAACTACAACACACAATCATTCTGAGGTTTTTTTATAGACTTTGTCAGAAGTTTTCCAAGCTGAAAAGAAAAGAATAAGTTACTTCTATGTGTACCCTAGTGTCTAAACTTCATCATGCACTGGCCAAACCTTTGGCATCTCTACATGGTCTTTCTTTTCCTTGGATTTGCTTCTAGCTGGAGGGGCAAACATAGAAAAATCCTGTTAGAGGTTTCGGCTCAGTCTCTGTTTCAGACCTTCCCAAAAGTCTTTGTCAATCCATTCTCATGGTAAGCATACCGAGTCCCTATGGACACTAATGGCTAAGTAGAAACCTAGTCAAACCACAAATGAGGTTAGCATAATAAAACAGTGGAGATCCAGATGAAGACAAGGAATGTTCTCATGTACTGTTCAAGAGGAATTTGTTCTTGATTAAAGGCTACATGATGATTTCTTTTAGTCTGTGATCAACAAATGGAATTTTTCCTTGTTTGCCCTGGTTCTTCAACTAAGTTTGAATCAATGATCCACTGACCTGCAGCCAGGAGCTGATTGCTGGTGGAGCAAGTCTCTGTAGCCTTCGTTTTCCAGTTCTCAACCTGCCAATGATGATGATTCAGAGCATACAGTCATTGTCTCATTTATTCATACTATTCTCTTACAGATAGAGGCTGTAAGATCAGCCTCCTGATCAGCCCCAGAGAGGGAGGCTAGCAGATGGGCACTCGTTTCAGGATTCTGTTCCGTAATCTGTCTTTTTATATGGTATTTAACTTGACTGTTTAATTCAGTTAATTACACCACCTTTAATACATAGTTTATATAAACATTTAAGTATAAAATGGTTTATATGTTTTTGTATCATTTAAAAATAAACATTTGGAACATGTCCAAGGCAACTAGAGTTTGTTCAATATAAGACGACAGAAAAATAATTAGAAAATACCATTTATATGGTAATGACATCCTAATCTTGGGTGTTCTCCGAGATGGTTTTGTTGGTAGATAGCAAAATGAGGTTGTTGGTGTATTCACCCTAAACAGCTATTTAATTGGAAATGTTCGACTCCACAAACATTTTCATTGACTCTAAATAGCATGTTTCAATACCAAAACCGATGATCTAATAATCCAAATAGTACTGCAAGACAGCTGTCAAACAATCTGGAGCAGAATCAGTTCATTCAAAATGTTAAAGGGGTCATATGATGCGATTTAAATTTTTCCTTTCTCTTTGACGTCTTACAAGCTCTTGGTGCACAAAGAAGATCTG